GTAAGTACATATGTCCCTGTTGAAATCTTGGAGTTTTAAGAGACGTTTTTTTTCTTCCATTTTTTATGTTATTAGTTTTCTCTGGCTTGGATGTGTATCGCGGGATCATTTCTTTTAAAAAGAGAAAAAGGAGTTGTATAAACGGTCTGTCGAAGGGAGAATGTAAGAACACCGATCAAGTGAAGAGAAAAGGAGATATTGTAGGCCTATGGATCGAGTTGTAGGCTGTGATATAAAAGTTGACTGTGTGGATATGGGTCATTGGTGGTACAGGGATGCTGGGAGAACGCCCACATATGGCGGTTCATTCTTAAAGTGTGTGTGTGTGTGTGTGTGTGTGTGTGTGTGTGTGTGTGTGTGTGTGTGTGTGTGTGTGTGTGTGTGTGTGTGTGTGTGTGTGTGTGTGTGTGTGTGTGTGTCTGTCTGTCTGTCTGTCTGTCTGTCTGTCTGCCTGTCTCTGTCTGTCTATCTGTCTGCCTGTCTGTCTGTCTGTCTGTCTGCCTGTCTCTGTCTGTCTATCTGTCTGTCTGTCTGTCTGTCTGTCTGTCTGTCTGTCTGCCTGTCTGCCTGTCTGCCTGTCTGCCTGCCTGCCTGCTTGCCTGTCTGCGTCAGCCTACCTGCCTGCTTACCTGCCTGTCTGCCTACTTGTTTGTCTGTCTTTATATCCCCCCCTTCTCTATCCCTCTCTCTCTTTCTCTGTCTCCCTCTCTCTTTCTCTCTCTCTTTCTCTCTCTCTTTCTCTCTCTCTTTCTCTCTCCTCTTTCTCTCTCTCTTTCTCTCTCCCTCTCCCTTTCTCTCTCTCTCTTCCTTCTCCTCTCTTTCTCTCTTCTCTTTCTTTCTCTCTTTCTCTCTTCTTCTTTCTTCTCCTCTCTTTCTTTTCTCTCTTTCTCCGTCTTCTTTCCTCTCTTTCTCTTTCTCTCTCTTTCTCTCTCTCTCTCTTTCCTTCTCTCTTTCTCTTTTCTCTTCCTCTTTCTCTTTCTCTTTCTCTTTCTCTCTCTCTCCTCTCTCCGTCTCTCTCTCTCTTTCTCTTTCCTTTCTCTTTCTTCTCTTTCTCTTTCTCTTTCTCTTTCTCTTTCTCTCTTTCTCTCTCCTCTCTTTCTCTTCTCTCTCTTTCTCTCTCTTCTCTTTCTCTCTCTCTTCTCTTTCTCTCTCCTCTTCTTTTCTATCTCTCTCTCTCTTCTTTCTCTTCTCTCTCTTTTCCTCTCGTCTCTCTCTCTCCTTTCTTTCTTCTTCTCTCTCTCTCTTCTTTCCTCTCTCTCCTCCTCATCTTTCCTCTCCAACTCCAGTCTCACTCCTCCTCTCTCTCCTCTCATCCTTCTCCATCTCTCCCTCTCTCTCTCTCTCTCCTCTCTCTCACTCCTCACTCTTCTCTCTCTCTCCCCCCTCCTTCCCCCCTCTTCACACTCCACCCTCTCTACCCCTCACTCCTCTCTTCTCCCTCTCAGCATACTCTCTCCTCCTCCTCCACCTCATCTCTCCTCACTCCCTCTCTCCCTCCCTTCCCCCACTCCCTCCCCTCTCCCTCACCCCCTTTCCCCTCCTCTCTTTCCTTCTTTCTTTTCTCCTTTCCTCCTTATTTCCCCACCCCCCCCTCTCTCTCTCTCTCCACTCCTCTCTCTTTCTTCCTCCCTCTCTCTCTCTCTCTCTCTCTCTCTCTCTCTCTCTCTTCTCTCTCTCTCCTCACTCTCTTCTCTCATCCTCTCTCCTCTCATCTCCTCTCTTCTCTCTCTTGCTCTCTCCTCTCTCTAGCATCTCTCTCTCACTCTGCACCCTCCTCTCTCTCTCGCTCCCCTCTCACTCTCTCTCGCTCCCCTCTCATCTCCTCGCTCCCTTCCCTCTCTCTCTCCTCTCCACCCTCTCTCTCTCTCGCCTTCCCTCTCGCTCCCTCTCTCTCTATCTCTTCGTTTCCCCTCTCTCTTCCTCTCTCTGCTCCCTCTCTCTCTCTCGCTCCGTCTCTATCTCTCTGCTCCCACCCCCTCTCTCTCTTCTCGCTGCTCCCCTCTCTCCCTCTCCATCTCCTTCTCTCTCACACATCTCTCCCTCCCTCTCTCCCTCTCCCTCTCCCTCCCCTCTCCCTCTCCCTCCTCCTTCTCCTCAACTCCTTCTTCTCCTTCTTCTCCTTCTCTTACCTCCCTCCCTCCCTCCGCCTCCGCTCCCTTTCTCGCTCCCCTCTCCCCGCTCCCCTCTCCCTCCCCTCTCCCGCTCCCCTCCTCTGTCACCTCTCATTCTCCCCTCTCTCTTTCCCCCTCTCTACTCTTTCTTTCTTCTCCTCTCTCCCGCTCCCGCCGCTTCCCTCTCCCGCTCCCCTCTCTCTTCACTCCCCGCTCTCCTATCCGTCCCGCTTCCCCCTCTCTCTCTCCCTCTCTTTCTCCCTTCTCCCTCCACTTCTCTCCCTCTCCTTCACTCATCATCAGCCACTTCCCACTCTCTTTTACTCCCTCACTCCCTCCGTCTTTCTCCTCTCCCGCTCCCTCTACCCTCTCTTCTCCCCAATTCGCTTTCTCCTCTCCACCTCCCTCCCCTCCACCCATCCCTTCCTATTCTCCCCCTCGTCCACCTCCTCTCTCCGCTCTCTTCCCGCTCCCTCTCCTTCACCCCTCCCTTCTTCTCTCACCCCCGTCACCACTCTCCTCCCTCTCCCCCCCCGCTCCCCCTCTTTCTCCCTCTTCCCTCCACTCCTCTGCTCCCTCTCGCCCTCTCACTCTTCACCCTCCTTCTCTTCTCCCTCTCTCTCCTCATCACTCCCCTCTCCCTCTCTCCTCTTCTCCTCTCTCTCATCTCCTTTACTCATTCTCTCCCACCTCCCATCCTCCCCTCTTTCTTCTGTTTCTTCCTTTCCCTCTCCTCCCCTCGCCTCTCACCCACCTCGCTCTCTCTCCCCTCCCTCTCTCTCTCTCTCGTCTCCCTTCCTCTTTCTTCTCTTCCCCTCTCCTCACTCCCTTGTCTCTTCTCTCCCCTCTCTCCCTCACCTCACTTCTTCCTCTTCCCTCTCATCCTCTCTTCTCCTCCCCTCTCTCTCCCTCTCTCTCTCTCCCCCTCTCTCTCTCTTCCCTCCCTCTCTCTCCCCTCCCTTCCGCCCTTCTTCTCTTCCTCCTTCCCTCTCCTCTCCCTCTTCTCTCTCCCTCTCCCTCTCCCTCTCTCTCTCTCATCTCACCTCTCCCTCTCCCTCTCCCTCTCCCTCTCTCTCTCCTTTCTGCCTCCACTCTCTCCCTCTCCTCCCTCTCCCTCTTCCTCCCTCCTCCCTCTCTCCTCTCTCTCTTTCCTCTCCTCTTCTCTCTCTTCTCTCTCTCTCCCCCCCCTCTCTCTCGCCCTCTCCCTCCTCCCTCTCCCTCCTCCCTCCCTTCTCCCCTCCTCTCTCCCTCTCTCTCTCCCTCTTCTCTCCCTCTCCCTCTCCTCTCCCCCCTCTCTCTCGCCTCTCCCTCATCCCTCCTCTCTCCTCCTCTCTCTTCCCTCTCCCTCCTATCATCCACTTCCTCCCTCTCTCCTCCCTCCTCCTCTCCTCTCCCCTCTCCCTCTCCCCTCTCACCTTCCCCTCCGCTCTCTCCCTCCTCTCCGCCTCATCTCTCCCTCCCTCCCACCCCCCCCCCTCTTTTTCTCTCCTGTCCTCTCTCTTCATCCATATTCACCCCTCCCCTCTCTTCCTCCCTCCCCCCCCTCTCCTCTCCTCTCTCCCGCCCTCTCTCCCTCCCTCTCGCTCTCTTCCTCTCTCTCTCTCTCCCTCCTCTCTCTTCTCTCGCTCCTCTCCAGCCTCTCTTCTCTCTCCCTCCCTCTCCCTCTCCCGCCCTCCCCTCTCTCCCTCCTCTCCCTCCCGCTCACTCTCCTCTCCTCTTTCCTCTCTCACGCCCTCGTCCGCTCCCTCTCCTTACCTTCTCCTCTCCCTCTCCTTCTCGCCTTTTTCCCTTTCCTCCCTCTCCCTCTCCCGTCTCCTGCGCCGCCGTCTCCCTCTCCACCTCTTCTCTCTCGTCTCCCCGTTCCCTCTCTCTGCTCTCTCCCTCTCCCTCTCTCCTCTCTCTCCCTCTCTCTCTCTCTCTCTCTCTCTCTCTCTCTCTTTCTCTTCTCTTTCTTTCTCTCTTTCTCTCTTTCCGTCCCCCTCACTTTTCTCCCTTTTTATCCGTCTTTTTGTCCTTCCTCCCCCTCTCCCCCTCTCCGTTCCCTCCCCCCCCCTCCCCCTCCCCCTCCCTCCCCCTCCCTCCCCCCCCCCCCCTCCCCCTCCTCCCCCTTCCCCCCCTCCCCCTCCATCCCCCTCCCCTCCCCTCCACCTCCCCCCCTTTCCCTCTCGTCCTCATTCACTTCATCTCTTCTCCTCTCTCCTCTTCTCTCCTCCTCCGTCCTCTCTCTCTCCTTCCTCTTCCCTCTCGCCTCTTTCTCTCTCTCTCCTCTCTCTCTCTTCTCTCTCTCTCTCGTCTCTCTCCTCTCTCTCTCTCTCTCTCTCTCTCTCTCTCTCTCTCTCTCTTCACCTTATGGCGATAGACTAAGAGTAGATGCAAGCGTGGCAACAGAGGCTGAGGTCCTGTTAAACTTAACCTACCTTGGTCTGACCTTGTCTTCTGCCACCTCCGCCCTCCTCTCTCCTCCTCCTCCTCTTCCTCTCTCCTCCTCCTCTTCCACTCTTCTCCTCCTTTTCCTCCTCTCTCCTCCGCCTCCTATTCCTCTTTCTCTCTCCTCCTCCTCCTCTTTCCTCCTCCTCTTCCTCTCTTCCTCCTCCTCTTCTCTCCTCCTCCTACTCCTTCTCCTCCTCCTCCTCCTCCTCCTCTCCTCCTCCTCCTCCTCCTCTCTCCTCTCTCCTCTCTCCTCTCTCCTCCTCCTCCTCTCTCCTCCTCCTCCTCCTCCTCCTCTCTCCTCCTCCTCTTCCTCTTCCTCTCTCCTCCTCCTCCTCTTCCCCTCTCCTCCTCCTCCTCTTCCTCTCTCCTCCTCCTCCTCCTCTTCCTCTTCCTCCTCCTCTTCCTCTCTCCTGCTCCTCCTCGTCTTCCTCTCTCCTCTTCTTCTCTCCTCCTCTCCTC